TGTATACTAGCTCGCTCGTGAATAAACAACTGCTGGTTTTGTTTGTTTTACTCTCTGGGACAACTTCACTATGTTTTTAAAAGGTAAAAATATGTCAAGGATATAAAATAATGAATTATGAACCTTGCTCACAAGACTGTTCTCTGTATTACTAGATATATGCAAGGCAGTGCTGAGAATGCAGACTGCCAGTACAGGAGCTGTTCTCCTTTGTGAAGAAGGGAGATAGAAAAGGAAAGAGAGCAACTAGGATCCCCCCCCCCCACCTTCTAAGTAACTGAGTGGAGAAATAAAGAGATAAAGGAGAAATTTTCTTCTATTGTTTCTATTTCCTTTCCTGCCAGCTGCCCGGGATGAGGAAAGAAAAATGGCACAAGTATCAGAATAGCCAAAGGCAATCGTGTGTCATAAAAACACAACTTGCTATTACACTGTGATGTCTGCATCATAATATTGCAGTGTTCGGTAGTGATGGCACAAAATCACATACCAATGAAATATGATGCAAATATGACTGTCACAGAATAATTTTGTGGCTCTCCAACTCCAGTTGATGAGAAACGTTAATTACATGTTATAGTCTGAACACAATACTATACATTTTAAAAACACAAGAATATATCGTGCAAAGCTAAAGCAGAAATACATAAAACAGATTTAGACTTTGCTGCTTAGTTTTAAATAAACATAATTAAAAACAAGAAAAAAACTAAACAAACCTGTGGTAGTTGCGGACTCTGTCTACCAATCAAGGTCCACTGACCATTTCTCACTCTGTATCCACTTACCACCTTACCTACAATAAACATTTACCACTGCATGAATATCAGATATAATACTTTAGAAAAATCAACATATTTTGTATTTGCTATTTTTCTATTAAAGATGTATTACTTAAATTAATAGATTGATTTATTGAAGAAAAATATTTTAAACAATTAAGTAAATTTTCTGCTCAAGTTTAAATAATGCGATAATAATATTTTTGGATCTATATTTAACTCAGATTGTAAGGTAAGGTTGGATAGCATTTTAGTTATATTAATTATAAAAAAGAGGCAAATACTTGATATTACAGCAGTAATGAACTCTTACCTAATCGGTGTGTATGAACTCTATAGGCAAAGAGGTGCATTGGATACTTTTGATAATGGCAGGCAATATCTGCATCAACCACTGTTAAAACATAAACAGAAATAAAACATTTTAAAAATGCTACTTATTCATCCAAGGAAAGTGATTTTTACAGTACTTCACGGAAACATATATATTTGGAAGCAGTGTACAAAAATCTGCAATGTAGATTCAGGTTTAAAAGGCAGTGGACAATAATCTCTTACATTTCTATAGGAACTTTAGCCCAAAATGATCCCCAAATACTTTCACAAAGAAACTGACATACAAATTATACACATGGATCACTTCAAGCATTACTGAGATGCATCTACTTCTGGGCTGAAACCTAGAAGCTACAGCAAATAGCTCTTCAACAATTTAGAACAATAAATTTGCTTATATATTATCAGGTTGAACACTACAGAAAAAAACAGATAAGAAACAAAAAAGATAACCACACCAAGGAAACTTAGATAGGCAAATTAAGCATAGTAAAAGAGAGATGATAACAGAGGTTTCATTTTAAAGGTATTTAATGTATAAAAAACACATAATCACAAGGCAGTTTCAGAGAGTCAGATTCAGGCATGGACACTAACGGGGGCTGTGTCTAGGGTCCTGTCTGCTGGAGTGTCTCACACAATCTTATGCCTTTGTGGATGAGGGTTTCCTTTGGGAAAGACTGGGAGCCAGAGTCTGGGGAGAAAGTAAGGCACCAGCTTGCACAAGGGACATGTTGCCCGGCAGACAGCTCTTCTACAGGGGCCTCCTGTAACCAACCGTCTCTTCTTTTTACCATGTCAAAATTGCTGGGCAGGTTAGAGTAAAACAGCCTATAAAGAACTGTTAAAGTGGGTGAACACCAAAAGGTCCAAAGTTATTAATGGAGCTGGGAAATTGGGAAATTTTCATCAAAATGATTTTTTTGACAGAAAATTCAATTTCTGCACAATGAAAATTTTCTGTGAGAAAGTTTCAATTTTGCAGATTTTTTAAAATTTTATTTTCTGTCTGAAAACGCATCAAAATATTTAGCTTCGGTTCAGAGAGACTCAAATAAAAATATTAAAGTTTGCTGAACTGACCTAAAATGTTTATTCAGTGACAGTTAAACATTAGACTGCATTCCATATGGTGGTGCATTGCCCCAGAGGAGTTGTGGTTAGGAGACAATGGGGGCAATCAGGCATCCAAGCTACAACTCCTGTGAGGCAACATACCGCCACAGGGAACTGCAAGGTAATGTTGAACTGGCTCAAAATGAAACACGTTAGGTGTGTTTAATAAACAGAAATTTAACATTTTGATTTGGGAATATCAAAATTTTTTGATTGAAAATACCACAATGAAACATTTTCCCATTTCTGGACCAAAATGTTTTGGAAGTTTTTGTTTCATTAACAAGTTTCAATATTTCAACTTTTCGTCCCAATTTGGGAGAAAAACAGCATTTTGAAATATCAAAAATTCCTGCAAGGAAAGAAATTCCAATTTTTGATAAACTTCTTAGTAAGTAAGGAAATCTGTAGCACAGGAGTTGGCAACCTTTGGCATGCAGCCCATCAGGGTAATCTGCAGGCGGGCCACAGGACATTTTGTTTATTAAGTAAAAATTCGCTGTTCCTGGCCAATGGGAGCTGTGGGAAGCGGCAGCCAGCATGTCCCGGCAACTGGGAGCTGAGGGGGGCTGTGCCTGTGGATGTCCAACGTAAACAAAATGTTTTGTGGCCCACCAGCAGATTACCCTGATGGGCTGCATGCCGAAGGTTGCCGACCCCGCTGTAGCAGATTAAGAGAAAGATCCCAGCAACTTCAGATGTTTCAGTAGGTTGCAGATGAAGTCAGAAAAGGGATAAAGAGTGAAATATTGCAATCTTAGACATTAGCAAATGTTCCTGCATGTATTACATTTTTAAAGAAAAAATAGTCACCTATTTCTGGCCCAAGAAGTGAACTTTTTATTGGCAAGTGAAATGTTTGTTTCTTTAAGTGGAAGAACTAGGCCAAAAAACAAACAAACAAACAAAAACAAACCCCCCCCACTTTAATAATTGCCTACTGATTGTGTAATTTTAAAAAACAAAATCCAAAACAACTTTCAGATGATGTTACATTGATGATTATTCTTCTATAGTATACTGTTAGGCTTTTTGAACCTACTCTGATGGAACAGCAATATAAATTGAAGAGAGTAGGTATTTTTTAGTATTTATTTTAGTTAGCAATAAACTTTCACCTATGATTTTACAATTCAGAGAGTCTCTGTGAAATTATTTTCCATATTAGACAGATGAACACCAGAAGATAAAAATTACACAGATTGCTTTATAGGGTTCTCGCTCACCTTTTTCCCCTGGTGGTATAACAGTATTCACAGACATCATAAGATACATGCCAGCAATCAAAGGTTGCCTGCAGAAAAATAACGACATTTACCTCAAAGCTCCATAAGACAATTAATTGGTAAAATAGTCCTCTGCAGGCTATACGATCCATAACAATTAAAAGTCCCCATAGATACCAAACCTAAATTGTTGTATTTACTATTAAAAATATGCATCCGAAGAAGTGGGTTGTAGCCCACGAAAGCTTATGCTCTAATACATTTGTTAGTCTCTAAGGTGCCATAAGTACTCCTGTTTTTTTTGCGGATACAGACAAACACGGCTGCTACTCTGAAACCTATTAAAAATCAGTTTTCAATGTGGAGATTCATAAAATCATAGGACTGGAAGGGACCTCAAGAGGTCTTCTAGTTCAGTCCCTTGTACTGAAGGCAGGATTCAGTATTATCTAGACCAGGGGTGGGCAAACTATGGCCCGGGGGCCACATCCGGCCCTTCAGATGTTTTAATCCGGCCCTTGAGCTTCCGCCGGGGAGCGGGGTCGGGGGCTTGCCCCGCTCAGCACAGCTCCTGGAAGCAGCGGCATGTCCCCCCTCCGCATGCTGCCCCCGCAGCTCCCATTGGCAGGGAACTGTAGCCAATGGGAGCTGCAGGGGTGGCGCCTGTGGACGGGGCAGTGCACAGAGCCCTCTGGCCACGCCTCCTCGTAGGAGATGGGGGCGGGACATGCCGCTGCTTCCGGGAGCTGCTTGAGGTAAGCACCGCCCAGAGCCTGCATCCCTGACCCCCTCTCCTGTGCCCCAACTTCTTGCCCTAGCCCTGATCCCCCTCCTGCCTTCTGAGCCCCTTGGTCCCAGCCCAGAGCACTCTCCTGCACCCCCAACCCCTCATCTCCAGCCCCACCCCAGAGCCCGCACCCCCTGCCCCGTCCGGAGCCCACTCCCACAACCTGACCTCCTCTTTTCTGGCCCCACCCCAGAGTCCTCACCCCATCCCACACCCCAACCCCCAATTTCATGAGCATTCATGGCCCGCCATACAATTTCCATATCCAGATGTGGCCCTTGGGCCAAAAAGTTTGCCCACTCCTGATCTAGACTATCCCTGACAGGTGTTTATCGAACTTGCTTTTAAAAATCTCCAATGACAGAGATTCCACAACCTCCCTAGGCAGTTTATTCCAGTGCTTAATGACCCTGACAGTTAAAGTTTTTTCTAACGTCCAACCTAAACCACCCTTGCTGCAATTTAAGCCTATTGCTTCTTGTCCTATCCTCAAAGATTAAAGAGAACAATTTTTCCCCTCCTCCTTGTAACAATCCTTTATGTACTTGAAAACTGTTATGCCCCCCTCTGAGACTTCTCTTCTCCAGACTAAAGAAACCCAATTTTTTCAATCTTCAGTCACAGGTCATGTTTTCTAGACCTTTAATCATTTTTGTTGCTCTTCTCTGGACTTTCTCCAATTTGTCCACATCTTTCCTGAAATGTAGCGCCCAGAACTGGATACAATACTCCAGCAGAGATCTAATCAGCATGGAGTACAGTGGAAGAATTACTTCTCATGTCTTGTTTACTACACTCCTGCTAATGCATCCTAGAATGATGTTGGCTTTTTTGGTTTGTTTTTTGCGCAAAAGTGTTACACCGTTGACTCATATTTAGCCTGTGATCCACTATGACCCCCAGATCCCTTTCCACAGCACTGCTTCCTAGGCAGTCATTTCCCATTTTGTATCTGTGCAACTGATTGTTCCTTCCGAAATGGAGTACTTTGCATTTGTCCTTATTGAATTTCATCCTATTTACTGCAGACCATTTCTCCAGTTTGTCCAGATCATTTTAAATTTTAATCCTACCGTCCAAAGCACTTGCAACCCCTCCCAGCTTGGTATCATCCTCAAACTTTATAATTGTACTCTCTATGTTATTATCTATATCACTGATGAAGATATTAAACAGAACAGGACCCAGAACTGATCTCTGTGGGACCCCACTCATAATGCCCTTCCAGCATGACTGTGAACCACTGATAACTACTCTCTGGGAATGGTTTTCCAACCAGTTATGCAGCCACCTTAGTATTTCCCTAGTTTGTTTATGAGAAGGTCATGCAAGACAGTATCAAAAGCCTTACTAAAGTCAAGATCTACCACTTCCCCCCATCCACAAGGCTTGTTACCCTGTCAAAGAAATCAGTTTGGTTTGATATGATTTGTTCTTCACAAATCCATGCTGACTGTTACTTATCACCTTCTTATCTTCTAGGTGTCTGCAAATTGATTGCTTAATTATTTGCTCCATTATCTTTCCAGGTACTGAAGTTAAGTGGATTAGTCTGTAATTCCCCTGGTTATCCTTATTTCCCTTTTTATAGATGGGCACAATATTTGCCCTTTTGCAGTCCTCTGCAATCTCTCCCGTCTTCCGTGACTTTCCAAAGATAATTGCTAATGGCTCAGATATCTCTTCGGTCAGCTCCTTGAGTATTCTAGGACATATTTCCTCAGGCACTGGCGACTTGAAGACATCTAACTTGTTTAAGTAATTTTTAGCTTGCTCTTTCCCTATTTTAGTCTCTGATCCTACCTCATTTTCACTGGCATTCATTAAGTTAGATATCCAATTGCTACTAAACTTTTTGCTGAAAACTGAAACAAAAAAGTCATTTAGCACTTCTACCATTTCCATATTTTCAGTTATTGTTCTCCCACCCCCACTGAATAAAAGATCTAATCTGTCCTTGGTTTTCCTCTTGCTTCTAATGTATTTGTAGAATGTTTTCTTGTTACCCTTTATGTCTCTAGCTAGTTTAATCTCATTTTGTGCCTTGGCCTTTCTAATTTTTTCCCTATATGCTTGCGTTGTTTGTTTATATTAATCCTTTGTAATTTGACTTAAACTTTTTGTAGGACTCTTTTTTGAGTTTCAGATAATTGACCATCTCCTGGTTAAGCCAGTATGGTCTCTTGCCATACTTCCTACCTTTCCTACACAGTGGGACAGTTTGCTCTTGTGCCCTTCACAATGTCTCATTGAAAAATTGCCAGTTGTTTTGGACTGTTTTTTCCTTTAGACTTGCTTCCCATGGGATCTTCTCGCTGAGCTTGCTAACGTCTGCCTTTTTGAAATCCATTATCTTTATTGTGTTGTTTTCCCTCCTACCATTCCTTAGAATCATGAACTCTTATCATTTCATGATCACTTTCACCCAAGCTGTCTTCTACCTTCAAATTCTCAACCAGTTCCTCCCTATTTGTTAAAATCAAATGTAGAACAGCTTCTCCCCTTAGTGGCTTTCTCCACATTCTGAAATAAAAAAATGTCTTCAATACTTTCTAAGAACTTGTTGGATAATCTGTGCCCTGCTGTGTTATTTTCCCAACAGATGTCTGGGTAGTTGAAGTCCCCATCGCTACCAACTCCTGTGCTTTTCATGATTTTGTTTGTTGTTTACAAAAAGCCTCATCCACCTCTTTTTCCTGGTTAGATGGTCTGTAGTTGACCCCTACCATGACATCACCCTTGTTTTTTACCCCTTTTAGCCTTACCCAGAGACTTTCAACATGTCTTTTTCCTATTTCCATCTCAATCTCAGTCCAAGTGTATATATTTTCGATTTATAAAGCAACATCTTCTCCCTTTATCCCCTGCCTGTCTTTCCTGAGCAAGCTGTACCCTTCTATACCAATATTCCAGTCATATGTACTATGCCACCAAGTCTTTGTGATGTCAAATAAGATGTCATAGCCTTTCTCCCCCAACTTTTTTTTTTTTTTTTTTTAAAGATGAAGTAAATTTGAAAGCATTTTTCACAAGCTTGAGAAGAAATAGGGCAAACACTAAAATGACATTAACATGTATATTCCTCTTTAGTTTCTTCCCCACCCCAAATTTCTAATACCATACTAGGCTCCCAAACTAACATCTTCCAATGGTGTTATGATGTATGTGTAGCATAATATAAGAAAGTTACCTAGTGTGAGAGCATTTGACTAACAGGCAATAAATGGTGCATTTTATTGTAAAGCTATAATGTTATTCAAAGCTTGTGTTCATGTGTGTTCATTTCAGGCTGTGCAAAAGAATTTTGGACCTGTTCCCACTGGAATAAGTGACCAAACTCACATCAGCTTCTATGGCAACAGGGGACCCCTGGATTAAATTTGGATGAATTCCATGAAATGTATTAAAAGTACTTGCCTTTGATGGGTCAGATGTAACGTTACACCAGAGCAATCCTTGTGTTTATCTGCACAAAACATGAAACAGGAATTTAACAGTTTATTTTTAATGATTAGTAACTGTAAATGTTAAGTGATTTTTACTTAGTGAATAAAAAAATGTCAAAAGATAAGATGCCTTTGCTATACATGTTACATTTATTCTCCCTGCACCAGTCTTGACGGTGAAATTGTATTTGCTTCACAATCCTCTGAACTGTGTAAGTGTTAGAATTTTTTTATTGTTCAGAACTACAGCAGTCTGAAAGTCATAGTGCTGCACTTAGTTTTTAAAGCAAAACCAGGAGTGATCTCAAGCATGAAAAAGTAACAGACAGCATTTTTTGGCACGGATTAAAAAATGCAGAACTTTGTGCCTTGCAATGTATATGTGGGTTGCGGGGAAGGCATTTTTGTAAAGCCCGAAAGCAGTCATTTTGCTACACAATCAGCGAATTTAAGTTTGACAAAAATGATTGAAAATGAATGATTTTGCAGAGGGGAATCTGAATTTTATTTTAATGGATAAAAAGTTTACTGACAGAAATGGCCACATTGCCTCATTATAAAGTCAAAGCATTTGCACTTAGATATTGTACTTGAAGAAAAAAAATCATTTCATACAACTATTGAACTATTCACCAATCTCCAGTATGTCCAACATCATTCATTTATTATGTAATCGTTGCTCAACAATCGTAACACTTCAACTTAAAAAGGACACTGTTAACTTGATACCTAGTCAATTTCAAACAGCGTTAAAAATAGTTTCAGGTATTTAACCAGCTTGACTTTTTTTGTTTTGTTTTGTTTTTCACAGCTATATCTTCCTATGGTAGAAAATGT